GTTAGGAAGTATTTGGAATTTACAGTTGTTGATGATAGTGATATTGATACATCTGTGAATTATAATAACCAAAATCAGCAACCAATCCTGATTTATCTGTTAACACACCCTCAGTTAGTGATTAGTAACACCAAGGAATCGTCTAGCGACAATGAGAGTAGGTAATATTTTAATAATATAAACAAATACCTATATGGAATTTGAGTTTGGGTTTTTTTTCCTTTCTTTTCTTCTGGTTTATTCGAAACCCCAAAATGAACGGAAAGAATTTTATTGTGTATAGTGAGACCAAAACAATATTCTATTCTATTCGAAATAACAAAGTTATCTTTGTCTGATATTATAAAAAAGTGACAATGATTTTTGAACATTCTGTATAATATTAGAAACAGGTTTTATCAAAATCAAGAACCAAAAACCTCTTTTATGCTTGGTCAGAATTTGAAGGGATGATTTCTATACATTTCGATTTTATTCAATTTTCAATTGTACCTAGCACTTTCATGAAAAATCAATAACTCAAGAACAGTTATTATTAGGTACATAGTACCTCAAATGGATTCATTTTGTTCATCACCCATTCAAAAGTGTAATGAAATACAGGCAAAAACACAAATTTGATATGTCATACATTTATATTATACGTGTATACTATAAAAATCTAATGTTCATCGTTCGTTCGTTCTGTGTTAGAATCTGATTTGACTAGTTTGTTTGAAGGTGGTTGACAATGTTTCGTATTGTATTTCGTCAGTTCCGACTTCCATTGTCTGATATAATATAAATTGATTTGAAATTCCTCAAAAAATATTGAAATGATTAACCGAAAATAACAATTTTATTTGAACAAAAAAACTGAAATTACAAAGAAATAACATGTGGATTTTGGGTAGTCTATACACGTGAGGGGGTTTACTGTGGTGAGGTTTAAGCGATGATCTCTTTTTTTCCGAAAAATAGACTTGATGTTTTTTCAAAGTCTGGTACGACTTCCTTTCAATTGATGCAGTAGGGTCTCTTGAGATCGTCGTGTATTTCCTTCCTGAAGCACCTCTTAGATCATCTGTTCGTAGAGGTCAGTATCCATCACAACAGTAGCGTTTCCCTTATCTGCAGGTGAGATCTTGATGGTGTTGTCTCTACTTAGCCCATTCAGGTCTCTTCGTTCTTCATTGCTGACGTTAGAAGTTGGAACTGGTTTTCGATCTAGCTGTTCTATGATTTTCCATCTGAATTCTTCTGTCTCGATCTGATCCATAAGGGAACTGGTGGATTCTACTGCAGTTATTATTTCCAAAGTGGGCACAGATGTTGGTGCAATGGCGAAGTTTAGACCTTTTCTCAACAAAGATTCCTCTATAACCGTGAGCGGGCGGGAACTCATGTTGATGACTTGGTGGCTTCATAGTTGTTTTGTTCTCGTTCTGCATTTGGGCAGTGTTTCCTCACCTACGAGTGCGGAGAATCATACATCGGTGAAACTAAGAGGCCATTGAAAGTTTGCATTGATGAGCACAAGAAACACACACAGCGAGGAAAAACTAGCAAATCCGGAATAGCAGACCATGTTTGTCTCATCAACATAATATCAAGTGGGCTCAAACTGAAATCATCCACAAAGAGGAACACTGGTTTAAGAGAAAATTCAAAGAAGCCGCGTATATGTTGACCAACAACGCATTCAGTCAAGCTAGCGTAGAGATACGTAACATATGGCAACCTCTAATCAAACGAAAAACGACCAACTCCCGCCAAACTGTCATCTCCCGCTGAATGATGATGAAGCGGAGTGAGAGAGAAGAGGAGATAGGTGAAAGCACTCGAATGGCCTATAAATAGTTGGATCTCGGAAGAACAAGTCCAGTTATCACCCGAAGACGATTGTGGATACTAACAATCGAAACGTCGTGACGTAACTTGGTTTGAAATCTTTTAATTTTTATTTTTCATTTTTTGTTAATAATATACTTGAGAATAGTTTAATAAACCAAAACCGGTCATAACAAATGAAAATCTTAGTAGAAATTAACCAACAGTTAATTTCTCTCTACTATATTTTATATGAATTTTCACAAAAAAATAGGTCATCAATAGAAAAAGTCATATATGATAGCTGTTGAATAGCTGAATGATCTTTTATATATGGATGATTTATGTTTAGGGATCTCAATCAGATGAACACTCCTTTTATTTATGATGAAGTTTCGAACAATATTTTATTTCATCAAGAGTGTAGAGGGGTGGCCTGTTTTTTATTACTTCATGTACAAATGTAACTAGAAGTAGTCTCCTGCCCTGCATCTTTAGAAAATTAAATTGTTCTATTTTTTGTAGTACATGCAATGAGAAAATATAATGAACACATGAATTTTGTATCCTTTGTAATGTTATGAGTGAGTTATGTACATCTATGCTGGGACCATAAATGAAGTCAGCATAAGTTAAGTGACTCAAAACTAATAATTCTCAGAACTGTTTTTTGAAGACGTATTTGTAAGTTTTTCACTGCAGTCTAGGTTTCTGAATGTCAGGTAATATCTACTAACATTTTTTATGTGCGTTCGGAAATGTAGACCATTTTTAATATGCAGTGCCTTCATTTCAAAACTTCCCTCCCCTAGTACTTCGTTTAGCAGGGAAAAAACACGTCAATTTAGATATCGACGGGGAGTTTTAAAACCAGTGCCAGTGGTATTTTAGGTTTAACCCTCTTACCCCTAGCTACCCCTCCTTAATAATTTTGAATGACACCCCCTATCTTGTAACACATCATTTTAAAGATCTTAAAAGTCCTCACTCAACCCCGTTTAGAAAACTGAAATTGGTTGATCCGTTCTCGTAAAATAGGGCGAAAAGAAAATGAATTATAACAAAATGCAAAAATTTATGGAACCGCTACCACTGACTCAATAACGGTATGTTTATGTCTCTTTTTTACAAAGAGTTTTTTGCTTTAGGAAAGTGAGATAAGGGCACAGAGTTGCTTCTTGGCGTCAGTTACAATTAAATGATGAAAACATTTATCAGAATTAGTTATTCCTGATTTTGAACTGTTTGTCAAGTGGTGTCAGTTGCACTGACAGTAATACAAATTGTAATGGTGTACACTTTACAAGAAAGTTTTTTTTGNACTAGGTTTCATTGTTACTCCATCGATCTTGATATTACAAATGTTACTCATTTTTAAATTTTTATTTTCAAATTAGTGTCAACTGCGACTTGAACGCATTCAACTTGAAGCCATGATTTGGTGAAATATTCGTATAATTTTTCCAAGGTATCATGGTCCATGGTGGTTTAGATTAGATTAGATTGTCGGGGAGTTAGCTCATGGCCTGATTCATTGCGACCTTTTCTGATCTATTGTGATGCTCCTTGGTTGTTAAAGCTCATTGTCTAGCTTGATCTCTTTGATGAGACTTCATAGCCTTGACATTGACGCCTTCATATAGCTGGCAGCCTCTGGTTTCTCTTCCCCGCATATTGCGTGTCTCAGTATTGATATCGCTTTGCATTGGGTTTCTTCTGTCAAACACATGTTGCTCATATATGTTTTCTGAGTCGGCTATGCCCCGGTAGTAGACCCACCACTACCCTTACGGTTGTAGTTTAGCAGGTCTTCGTGAATCTGGGCGATTGTTTCTTTATGAACTATTTCGCCTGTCTCATTCCTGGGAGCTTATTCCACCAATCTATCGATTCGGCTTGCATCCATGAATTTATGGATGTCTTCATACATGCTTTCGCTACCCCGCAGAAGGGTTCTGCGCCGATCATAGCCTTGGATGCGACTTCAAGGGCTAGAACATCGGCCTCCACATTACCCTTGTGGCTCTCATGTCCGGGTACCCAATCTAGAGTGACCCAGACAGCTTCTCGCCAGTTTTGAGAAGACTTGAAATGAGCTTCGCGCCTTAATTGCCGCCTGGCTGTCGGAGAAAATAGCAGTGGTTTTGTTTGTGACCTTCTGCCTGTTTATTTCCCTCATACAGTGTTCGATGGCCACTACTTCTGCCTGAAACACAGTTACAATATGTCCGAGGTTGAGTGCGATTCTCGTCTTTGCTCTGCCTCCGTATATACCGTCTCCCACTCCTTCTTAGGTCTTTGAACCATCTGTATACCAAGTTTCCTGCGCTTTTACCGGTGGGCCGTTTTGCCAGTCCTCTCTACTTGGTATGATGATTTTGAAATCTTTTAGAAAGTTGTACTGCGAAACTGTGTTATCCACGGACATTCCTAGTATTGGATCTGCTCCTACATTAGCCTGTGGGTCACCAGTCGAGCTTCTCTTTGTATGTAGATGTACAATGGTGGAAGTCCGAGTGGGACCTCAAATGCTGCAGTTGGGACCTCAAATGCTGCAGTTGGGACCTCAAATGCTGCAGTTGAGTTCGTTCTCATGGCTCCCTCGACACTTAGGCACGCCAGCCTTAGTATGCCGCCTGATAGCCTAGCCGTACCCGATTGCCTTGTTCTTGTCCACCAAATCACTACACCGTATCATGGGTCTCACTACCCTTGTATAAACCAGGTTCAGCCCCCAGTTTTTCCCGCACATTCTTCTGCAGATTCCCAGGGCCATCCTGGCCTTATGTGCTGTTTTTTGAATGTGGAGGTTCCACGTGAGCCTATGATCGATAGTGACACCTAAGTATTTGACTTCTGTGGCGAAAGGGATCTCCACTTCATTGAGTATTGGTGATTTTAGTCCTCTCATCACTCTTTTCCTTGTGAACACGACAGTGGTTTTTTGGGCATTCACTGAGAGGTTCTCATGCTCGCACCATCTGCTGACAATGTTTGCATGCGCTCCGAGATGACGTTTGCAAATTTCCCTTTTGTATTCATCACCAGATCGTCAGCATATCCCAGGCAATATATGCCTTCTTCAGATGACTTTCTGAGGAGATCATCTACTAGGGTTGCCCATAGCAATGGCGATAGCACGTCTCCTTGTGGGTATCCCTTCTCTGCTCTTACCTGTATGGTAGCCTCTCCTATATCATCCTTCTTTCTAGGCTGGCTTTTATCCATCGACACACGACAGCTGGTTTTCCTATTTTTCGCAATGCGTCTAAAAGGCATTCCGTGGAGACATTTTTAAATGCACCTTCGATGTTTAGAAAGGCAGCTACTGCCATTTCTTCGTCGTCCAGCGACTTAGATAGTAGTCTGTTTAAGTCGTCCAGCGCTAAACCTGTTGATTTCCCAGGCTGGTACGCATATTGACGAGCACTAAGAGGTCTTTCCTTCAACGTTTCGTCTCTTATGTATCGGCCCAGTAACTTTTCAACGGTTTTCATTCGAAAGGACGTTAGATTAATAGTTATTTGTGACTTGGGCGTTTGGTCTAATATTTTGCCTATTTTGGGCAGGAAGACTACTTTCACCTTTTGTCATGAAAAGCTTCATCTTTGAATGAGTTTTGATCCCAGCAAAACCAGTTACAATTTTTATGTTACATATGAGCAAATTATAGTTAAGTATTTATCAAATTGTTATCGCCAGTCATTGAAGCCAAGTTAAGAAGTGATCTTTTTTTAGTATTGTCACTTCAAGAAATCAGAATAAATATAATTCAATTTGAAAATCTACCAATAGAGATTGCCATTTATAATCAGATTACTGCCTACTGATTATTGGTGATAAAATTATTTAAATCATAATTGTAAATGTTGACACATTGGCTTAGTTTGTCTCCCAAATATTTTTTACCTTTCTTTATACTACCTTCTTGAATGCTTTTTCACTTATTATTGATCTTACCTTGCACGAATATCTAGGCATTTTAAGCAAAAAAAAGCAAGTGTAACTTTCAGGCAAAAAGTGATCCGGCGGGGAATATTTGTCAAGAATTTGAATGACAAAATCTCTCCCACGAAAGTCAGCTATAGTTCGTGGCAAACGAGTTCTTCCCCAAACGAATCTCAAAAATAATGATCGTTCTTGATTTGTGAATTCCTCCATGACTTCCCAGAACCACTGAATCAGTGGAGCACTAATGTCAATTCCTGAAAGAATTTTATAAAATCTCACAACTCTTTTAAAATATTTTTCTTTACCTTTATAAGTTGCTACAGATTTCAATAAGGACAATGGTATATCAGGAGAGCCACAAACCATTGTTTCCAACTCATATCCACTGAATAATGATAGTAATGGCACTGGAACTACTCTAGACATACCATCTCGAACAGCTTTAATTTGTTCATCAAACTCGTGCAACCTGTAACATTCGGTAAACTGTTGAAAAAACAGAATATTATAGATATACAATTCAACGTAGTTTCACGAAACATATTATGAGAAGAAAGATGTTTGGGAAATAGTCAACTCGAATTGATTTTCAATTTACCTGAAATTCAAAGCCAGTCTAATATATTCCAGGCGGTTTTCGTAAGTTATCTTTTTGTATCTTGTGCTCAAATGGATGTCAGTACCAGATGAAGAAGGGGTACAAAATGGCATTTCCATATTTTGAAATAGAGGTTCTTCCGAACCCATGTCTCTTATACAGAGAAGACCTGGTACATAATCCCTGTCAATTTCTGTCAAATCAGCGGGAGTAAGGTCTATTCCTGCCAACTGTTTCCAGACAGGTTCAGCTAGGCTAAGGCTCAATGGTGAACCTGTTCTTATGGCAATACCCATTAACACTCCCAAAAATCGGAACATATTCAAATTCAGACAAGTCTTTGCTGCTGGATTTAATATAAAGCAGTCTCTATTTGCTCCAGATTCATCCCTCCCGTTTGGTGTTGGAATCAGGAGAGGCAAAGATCCGTTCTGGAGTTCATCACACATTTCTGCTATACTCTCACTATATCCGCCCCCACAGTCATCAACACTCTCTCCTAGAAAAAAAAAAAAAGAATTAGTTGTGTAAAACCACAAACAGGAAGTTGTTTGAAAATGTGTTTAACGAAATAAAATAACTGTGGAAGAAATTTCAGCAATTTGTGTACTTGGAAGAAACTTTAATATAAGTGTTTCAAACATATATAAGAATTCAATATTGCCAAAATTTAAATATCAATTGCTTCAAAATTATTTTGAATTTGTTGATAAATAGGCAATTTTCAGCTGATGGAAAATAATTCCATGAAATTCAAAAGATAAAGATGATTACTATTCTGATCATTACCAATTTGATTTCAATTCAAGAGCCACCGGTAGACAGCTGTTTCAGCTTGTTGGGCAACGTCAGTACCGGGCAGGCGGTCCTCGATTGATGCCATAGTATAGTTGACATGCAAAACCCTTATATGGACAGGTTGTTGCGGGTATCAAGTATCAAGGTGGGAATCTTGCACCTTGATTATCCGACTACTTCATTAATGGCCAATCAGCTGGAATCTCTTCAGGAGGTATTTTGTCGGCTGTAGAGGTTATTCCAGATGATGGACCGCAGGTACAATTCCAGAGCTGCACTATTCGGCCTGGATGGTTAGCCTACCACCTGCCAATGAGGTTGGTACAGCAGTTATAACGACCACGACAAAATATACTTTTAGCCTCCAGTTTCTACACAGCTGAACTTTACGCTATTGAAACTGCTTTAGCACACTGCAATGGAACCAAAGGCAACTCCGTGACATTCACAACACACTTAGTTCAATTCAAGGACTTCACCAACTATATCCCAAAAATGCCACTCTACTATGAATCAAAAGATAACTTGCAGAACTAACCCACAGTAGTAAATGGGTTGAAATAGTTTGGGTACCATCTCACACGGGCATTAAAGGCAACAAAATCGCTGACGCAGAAGCTAAAACTTCCATTACATATCCAGGAACATATCAAATCTCCCAGGTTCCACACGAAGATTTATAAAACGACATTAAAAAAATCATATTCAAACGATGGAAAGAACGGTAGAGCTACTTAACCTCAATATTAATCCAATCCTAGTTATAAACAACTACCGTCTTCTCAATCGTAGACAGCAAGTCATTCTCACCCGACTACGCAATGGCCACACTTACATCTCATCAAGAAAGAAACACCAAACCGATGCCTCAACTGCAATATAGATCTAAGTGTTAAGCACATTATCATGAAATGTCCCAGCTACCACAACGAAAGGCTTATATCCGGTTTAGGAAATGAATATACCATTGTCCTAGATATAAAGAAAATAGGCTCATTGTTGTGTTTTATGAAATGCATCAAAATTGATAACATGATATAAAATATAAAACACCTTATTGTTCCACCGCTAATAACCTAACTGGTTGAAGTGGTATGATTGAAATAAAAAAAATGTAAGGATTGCGATGCAAAATATTGTGAACCAACTAAAAGATCTATTAAAATAAGATATAAGGAAGATATATGGAAGACCAGAAAAAACCAGCAGTCGCACATTAAGTTTTGCAACAGAAGCATTCCATAGACTTTAGTTCATTAAGATTAGTTTAACAAGTTAACAACAACAGGCATCTAGATGCCTATGAGAGTTTAGAAATAAGTCAACATAATACTGTCATGAATAGCGATGATGAACCAATACCTAATAGTTTACTATATAGCTTATTTAAATAATATTTTAAGTTATCAGATTGACCTGACTAGTAGATAACGCAACATTGTGAAATTAATTTAAGACAATCAAGACGCAGGTACCTAACAGAGCTATCTCTGTATAAAAAAGACAACATTGTACTTTAGTTTAATCTTTCTTTATAAGATGATCACTTGGTGACTGAAACACGTGTCGAGGTGTTAAAAATAACGGTTTGGATAGAACTCCAGTAATTTTCAAGGTATCGAATGGGTTGTTTATTTCTAGGACATATTTCCAATCAGTATTTTGGCAATTCTGGCGGAACATATCACAGTTTAACGAACTGTACAACCTTCCATATTTGAATTTGAAAAAACTTCATAATTGGCTCAATGTTAGTAGTCAAATAGACAGCTTCATAATCAAATAATCCTGGTGAAGCCACATAAAACGTAATAAATTTGTCATCCAGGTTTCTAAATACATAATAACTTGTGCCTTGCCGAGTTAGACGAGTAGGACTTTCTACATGCATCTGTAGGTTGAATGATCCTAATAAGTTACTCAGCGTCTGGGTAGAAATAGAATTAGTATATGTAAAGTTAAGTCTCCTGTGAGTATAGTAGTTGATTTGAGGGGCAGTATATTCAGCAAAAATTCTAGTTGAATAAGAAAAGTACTTACATCTGTTATTGGTGACCGATAGATACATAATATGTAATGAAGAAAAGAGAAATAAAACTTTCTGTTTTTTACCACTTTTATTTGTAACTAACGTTACTGCAGTTTCATTCTATATGGACATTTTCAAACTTATACAATTATACAATAAACATAATATGTAAATATAAATTTTTTTTGAATACACTATGGAAAATTCAAATAATTTCTCTTGTTACAAATGATTTAGTTTGTCAAACTTTTCAAATCCCAACTTTTGTCTGAAAGAGTTTTTCACTAGGATCCATTGGATGAAGTTGACCTACAATATTTCGATAGAACTGTAATCATTTATAAAGACTGTTTTATCACATTTTAGCCAATGTTCGCTCAACAATAAAATATCGAGAAAATCAGTCTGTTAAATATATATACAGTTCGTTTGTTTCATTTCTGAGAGACCGTATGTTAAGAAGAGCAACTGAAAGATTATTACCCACAACCGCAGATTACTTATTTGAACTGAACCTTGTGAATATCCAACAAAGAGTCTGCATTCATATTAATGTGTGAATAAGAGATAATGTTTTTGAGTAGTTCAATAATAATGTTTTGGGCAGTTGCAGTTTTGGGCAGGTATGTTTGCCAATTGTAGTTTTTATCACGTAGTAACGGCTACATCCATCAATTTATTCAATTATTTATATATGTGATATTATTATGCCACAATTCTTCAAATTAACTATATAAAATTTACTAAAAATACCAATAAAGCAAAATACAATTTTTTTATTGATTATAACAAGTTACATAATTCCTTCAAGAATTTGAATAAGAATGATTTTTATAAAATGAGGTGTGTAAACGATCTTGCTAATCATGTTGTCATGAGTATCCAAAATTGTACTAATGAAAATACGAAAAAAGTCAAAATAAAAGAAATCGGAAATGAAAGGGTGGATGGATGACCCGTGGGTTATTAAATTCTGAAAATAAAAAACATGAATTATATACCGAGTGACAAAAAAACAGAAATAATCAACTACATGAAATCAAGTATAAGAATAAATTAACAAAAGTAGTAAAACATCCAAAGAATTATGGAGTTGTATTAAAAAATATGTAATGAAACTGAAAATAATAACATCAAATGCATCACAATGACTGAAGGCGTAAGTACAACAGATAAAAAAGTTATGGCTAATCAATTTATCAATTATTATTCTAAAGTTGGAGAGAACTTTGCAGAAAAAATAAAAAACACGGTGGATACAAACACATTGAAAAGATATGTGAATTTCTTTTATATGGAAAAAACAACTAAATCTGAAGTTAAAATTGTAATTGATAGTTTGAAACACAGAAAATCACCTAGATATAATGCAATAACTTCTGAAGTTGTAAAAACATCGAAAGATTTGATATCAGAACCTTTAGTGCATTCAATAAATATGATTTTCAATACTGGAATATGCCCTGATGCTTTCAAAATTGGAATAATTTAAGCCCATTTACAAAAATGGTGATAAGAATGAAATGAAGAATTATCGACCTATCACATTGATATCTAGTTTAGCAAAAATATTTGAAAAAAATCTGTGAGTATATAATTGAAAAATATTTAGATAAAATCCATTTTTTCTCAAATACTCAATTCAGATTCAGAAAAAATAAGTCCACACAATGCAATTTGTCACATAGTAAATAATGTATATCAATCATTTGATGATAAAATACCAACTTTATCTGTTTTTAAAATCTTTTGCAGATGATCCGATGCTTTCATATACCGCCAATAGCTGGTATAATTTAAAAGTAAGTGTGGAAGGAGATTTCAAAATTATCAAGAAATGGTTTGATAGTAATTTATTAACGATAAATTTAGAAAAAAACAAATATTTGACTTTCGGTTCTTGTAAAAATTTTTCACCTAAACTAGGTCCACTCAAAATTAGTGAGAGTATCGAAATCTTTGAGGCTGAGTACTTGGGCATAATGATTGATAAATATTTGAGATCGGATCATCAAATCAATTATTTGCTGAAAAAATTAAGGATCCTCCTACCAAAATTTAAATATTTAAAAAATTCTTGAGTATACACCATCTGGATTTACTTAATTTTGAATATTACTGGAGTTCTTTCCCAACACCAAATCGTTATTTTTAACACCTCGACACGTGTTTCGATCACCAAGTGATCATCTTCAAGAGGAAGATTAAACTGGAAACTTTCCTAGGCTAACGCTATTTATGCTATGTAGGTATACTGTACAGGTAAACCATACAGGTATACCACCCTAAATTAATTTTACAATTTGCCTCATCTATTATTTTACAATATGTCCTTATGTAGTGTTTAAATGTTATAGTTATATATAAAACAATTTTCAGCTATATAAAAATTAATTTCACAATATTCCTATCTAATTTTNATACTTAAAACTGACAGTTTCTGAGAAATTTCGAGAAACTTAAAAATACAGACCATAATTTAAAAATTATTTTCACCCTGTAACGTGTAACGAGCTGCCCGTGATTAAATGTACTGCTTAGCTCAAAGGTTAAAGTTGACTATCACATGAAATTTTTATTGCAATATTATTCCGAGTGGTGAAAAAAATTGCCTCAAAATTTGGTCACACATTTAATTAAATAACTTCTTAAAGTTGAATGGAACACTACGTATTTGGTGGAGTAATTTGACGCAGAAGTAGGTTTCCTTCAAAACTATATTAGTGTTCTCTATACCTATCTCTTCTGCTTTTTACAGAAAAGGCGTTTTTATATTTTACTTATGAGTAATTCTTTTATCTTTAAAATGAAATAAGCTCTATTGTAATGAAAAGCCTAACAAGCGTTTTAAACACCTTTTTATTGAAGAATACGTAGATTCTCTAGAAGCACAAGTTTAATTTTCTTTAAATAAGGTGTATCTAAAGTAAAATGCAGGCAAATGTAAAAACTAAAATTTATTGCCATTTCTAAAATATTAAAAAGCATTCTTCAAAATAAGAAGATGCATGTGTCTTACTTATTGAGGCAAAATATGTTAAATACGCTTGTTTCTTAGCGAATATATTAGAATTCATAGTGGAATGAATACCAAAATTACAATATGGGGTCAATAAAAACATACATTTACGATTGCCTATAAAACCTACTCTACTATTTTTTCAATAATAGTAGGCTCTGGCCTAGATGACGTTAATTATTATTGTTAAATAAAAAGTATTTGACAGTGACACAACTTGTTAATCAAACCATTATGATTGTTTTAACTAGTTTGAAATTATTATCATTTTGAAATATTGTAAAAGGAGAACTTATCCCCAGGAAGAACGAATTGATATGATTTTGATAATCGGTGAGTGTGAAGAAAACTGTTTATTAGCATCAATAGTATTTGCCCAAAAGTATCCTAACAGGAGTCATCCTAACAAGTGTTCATTGGAAAAGTTGTTGCAGCTGGAAATGAGGAAAATAAATATTTAGTGATGTTATCTCTAATTGAACACCCTCACACAAGTCAACGAAAAATATGTGAAACAACTGGTATAAGCAGACAGACTATCCAAAGAATAATTAAAAATTACAAATTCCACCCGTATCGTATTCAACTACATCAACAGCTTTTTGAAAAAGATTATAATCGACGACTGAATTTTTGTTTATGGGTTTTAGAAAAGTTTGGTGACGAAGAAATTTTTTTTTGGTTATGTGTTTTTTCCGATGAGTCAACTTTCCATAACAACGGATTAGTTAACAGACATGACGTTCACTACTACAGTGACGAAAACCCTAATATTTTTTAGAACCCTTGATCACCAGCACAGATGGTCTGTTAATGTGTGGGGTGGAATAATTGGAACGCAAGTAGTAGGTCCTTACTTTTTTGATGGTCATTCAAACGGCGTCATGTTTCTCGGATTTATTAGGGATAATTAGGGAGTGAGTAGAACCTACTTCACTAAACTTGAAGTTATTTAAAAAAACTTTCTAAATATAATCTATAATAAAAAATATGACCTTTAAAGTGAACAACTTTCCAAAATTAGTAAAAAAAATGGATATACGTCAATTATATTTTTATCATCTGTTAATTTATATGTATAAAAATAAATCAAATGGTCAATATAATAAACATGAGTAAGATATACGAAATAAATCAACATATTCATTGAAAAATAGAGTGAAGAAAACGATTTCTCAAAAAATTACATGTATATACATAATTTCGTATATATTTGATATGCTGCCTCATTATATAAAACATTTCAAATCTTTTTTTCGTATAAAAATAAAATTAAAGAATGTAAAATAGGGGGACTTCACGAGAATGTTTCCATGATATAATGAATTTCAATAAATCATGATACAGAATTCATTGAGTACATTTCTGAATACTTTTATTTAATTCATATATTGTTATTAAGCACAGATTGTAAATTTATGTATTAAGTGAATATAAATACCTTTTAACGTGTTAGGAATCACATGTTAAAAGGTAAGACCTCGTTAGTCCTTAGCTCGCACAAGTTTCGACTTTTGAGGGTCGTTCGGAGGGGTGCGACAGCTGGTTAACGGAAAAACATATTTAAAACATATTTAGGATCTCAATGAATGACATAAGCGACGGGAGAACTCTGGATTTCAGTAACAATATATCAATGAATTTGTAATAACAATGACTACCAAAATGTATAAAAAAATATACAGGTCCGTATTGAAAAAATTAACTGATGATGGACTTCAATGAACGAAACATCGCATTGGAAAATGGGCTGAACCAGATAATGAAAAACATAAAGTGAAGCAAAAAGTTTCTCTGTAATTTTTTGATATCATTGAAAATGAAGGCAGTGAAGCAAAAAAATAGAATCTGTCATTTTCAACTTTTTGCAAATATCTTAGAAACGGTTGGTGATTTTTATCGACCTGAAAACAATTATTTTGCATTCGTAAAAAGGCAACTTTTGTTCATTTGTTTCATTAAAAAAAACCTATGTATTGATAACTTATCAAAAGTCAGGATAAAGTTATATCACTGCTTCAGAAAAAACATATTATGTACGTCCATACATACATACATCAGAAATTCCCAGGAAGATCATCTATTAAAGAAATAATTTAATACTAGGTACATACATACATACATTAATAAGAACAAACAAGAACCTGTTAAAGTGTTTATTGTCAATAGAGTGAGTATATTAAACTATATAGGTATCAACCTTGTATTGCATATGTATATACACCGACAGTAGAAAGCTCAACCTAATAAAATTAAAAGAAATAACGGGTTATACTTAAATGGCAGACAAGAGCCAAAAATTAACTCTATTTGAAATTGATCGCTCTCTTCCTTTCTTTGGAAGATTCCCACATTTTTTTGTATCAAAATGGAGAAGTAGAAGCCCAAAAACTTTCTTTCCCAACGATATAGAAATTTCATTTTTCCATTGATTATTCAATTAGTAGCAAAATTTATGAATAATATAAGTTACCGACTAATTGGCTTCTTTAGTATTTATATCAGGCAATGATTTTTCTGAGTGAGCTTTTCAGTTTGCCCTTTGTAGCCCTTTAGCTTATTCAGCTTTGTTGTTAAGGACATGAAGAAACAGTGATGAAAAGGTAGCTTCATTTTATGAACGCTCCTTTTTATCTCGCGGCTGATGCTCCAGTTGGAATATTTGAAAATATTTTCTTATTGCACATGTACAACATAAAACGAATCTACATACAAAATTTCAGACTCTGAAAATATAGCGGCACGGAGAAACAGTGATGAAAAGGTAATTTTAATATGTTAACGGGTCCCTTTTATCCCCAGGGAGGCGCCCTAGTTGAATTGTTTGAAAATCCTTTTTCATTGCACATCTACAACATGAAACCAACCTACATACATCCGAAAATATAGCGGGACGGAGAAACAGTGATGAAAAGGTAATTTTCATATGTAAACGCGCCCCTTTTACCCCCACGGGGGGTGCCCCAGTTGTAATATTAAAAAATTCTTTCTTAGATGCGCATCTAAGACCTAAGAAGCACCT